CGACGGCCACGACGGCCATGGCCGTGATGCCCTGTGAAAAAAAATGCAATTCACGGCCAAAGTGGCCTTGGTGCCCCTGTCAAAAGTTCCAGTGTAAACAACGCTAGTAAAGTCATATTAGTGCGCAGCAGTAGGAATAGTTCCCGGGCGATGCCTGTGCCCTGGGATCAGAGCGATCTTGCTCTGCTGTGATTGTTCCGTCAGAAATGGCCTTGTAGGGGACCGACAGCCTCCTCCTCAGCACGCGGGAGCAAGACAAGCACAGGTAAGCAAGCGGACCAAGCTGTTTTGATATGATTTAACTGAAGTATGTGGTAGTATTTGAAAGGACTTAACATTACGTGTTTTTATAGAAAGTACTATTGATAGGTAATTACCATTGTATTAGCCTATTAAAGTCGACTCGTTACATTTTGTCATGAAAACTAGCGATAGCTAGCTAGTTTTGGATAGCGCTAACGTTCTTCCCTTCAAGGGGTCTACATCTAGTGTTGCTTCTACAAGCTAGCAGATAGCTGTCACCTTTGAATCTAGTATTTTTCTTGCTAAGCGGTTTTGATATAATACATGACTGACTTATGTGGTTTATGGCTGAACTTAACGTATACGTTAAAGAAACACTATTGCTAATCAGCCATTTGTAAAACGACTGGTGTTGACGTTAGTGCTACACTTTTCAGTCATGTTGATTGACCAGCGTAATTTAACCAAACGGCCTTTGTGCCCTTGAAAAAAATGTGAACGGGAAGGCCAAATGGCCTTGCCCCTAAAATGACGAAATTCCAAGCCTGGTGTGTGTTGTGTGGTATATTTGTGTGTGTGTGGTGTATTTGTGTGTGTGTGGTGTATTTGTGTGTGTGTGGTGTATTTGTGTGTGTGTGTGTGTGTGTGTGGTGTATTTGTGTGAATGCATTTCCCCATAATGGGATTCATGTTTCTTGTAAGTGGGTGTGTAACTTTCTCTTCCACAACGACTGTAGAGGAGGAGGGCGTGTCAGTGTGTGTGAGAGTCAGTTTGGACTTTGGCTGGTCTTAAGGTCTTTAAATGTTTCCCTTAAGCACAATATGAAGTGAATTGAAAAAAGCTTAAATAGTCAGCAACAGCTATTTTTAGTTTTATGAGTCTATGGACTTCATTTATTTGAAATAGCGTCTTTTTGTCTTCATTCTTAATAAAGCCTTCTAATCAATTGATTTTAAGCTCACAGACATGTGACCATCATTTCTCCCATTTGTCAGGGACATTGAAATCTTCCCGGACGCAATCACTGCTATGTTTTTTTTAATCCTGGTGCAAGTGTGTCCTTTTCTCACCATGACTGCTCCTGTCCTTGATGTGGACCATCCAGCCCTCCTCCTGCAGCGCCTCTTCCCCCGCCTCCCTCTCTGCGTGCAGCTCGGCGTGGATCCGTGACACCGAGGTGGAGTCCAGCGTGACGTCACACAGCTCCGCCGCCCGGCCCAGCCTGAACACCGAGTGGCTCAGCGCCGGCCTAAAGGTGTACAGGTCCCTCGCCGAGTCCCCTGCAGACGACCCGATCCGCAGCAACTGGAAGCACGGCTGTACCCCGCACAGCATGACTGAAGGCTTTGATTGTCTGCCACCGCTGAACCCCCCCTGACCCCACCCAGAGGCCACACAATATCTGTGACAGGCCCTGAGCTACAGCAGGTTAAGATCCATTGTGGGATATACTCTTTGCTAGTGGACAGAAGTTAAATTAAAGGCATGTGAACTTGCAAGAATCTGCTAGATGAAATATTCTAAGCTCAGGCCTGGTTACAGGCAGGTGCAGCTGTTTGAGCAACAGTTGTTTGCATTAGTATGTAAAGCAGATGCCTTGTTGCGCCTTGCCCTGAATAAATAATGAGGATATGGAGCCCTGTGTAAACTGGGGAAGTGTGGACATGAGCTACTGCACTCTGTCATGAGCTCAAACAGATGAAATCCTCCGTGGAGTGGAGGCTGTAAGAGGATCTTTAGTAATGTGGACAGCCTGCGTGTTACCACTAAATGGGAAAGGTGCAGTAAATATTAAAACCATGAAAAGCAAACCTGCCATAGAAACTTGACAGCCGTGACTTTTAGCCTGAGTTCTGACGTTTAAAATTAACAAATTTGAACAGCTGTCATCTGAGCCTGTGTGTAAGTGTGTGAGATTAAAATCCCAGGCTCCTGACATCAGCCGTCTCACAGGTGAGAAGCCTGGCAGTGCTGTCTGATCTGAAAGAAGAAAACATAAAATACATTTGCTTAATTGCTGTACTTAGTGTGTGAAAAACATCTTTATAGATGTTATTTTGTTGACACTTCAGACGCCACATAAAACATGCTTCATTACAGGCTGCCGTTAAACTAATGTCACACTGAGGGAAAAACACCAGATGCTTCTTAACAAGAGAAACATGAAAACTGTCAGCTTCACACTGTGATCTTTAGCTTTGTGCAGTGTGCACCGCATGCCGTGCATCAGCTGCATGTAGACGTATCATGGGACACGGCACAAAGCAAGACACAATAACCAAGAGAAATCAACGGAATGTCAAGTAAAACCTCGTTTTAAAAAACAATTACTGCACATATCCTGATAGAATCTGCACATATACTTAAGAATGCAGCGATAAACGTTACAGTGAGATTGAAAGATCAATGATGTATCGTAGTCCTGGTTTTTAGCTTGTCAGTCAGAAACAGGATCAAGCTAGCTGACGTAGTTCCTTGTAGGACAGAATGAAAGTCAAAGCTGCCACTTACAACAATGGCATTCCCTCTTTATGTGAATTATTCCTCAACCAGCTGCCGAAAAAACACCGTCGACTGCTCCACCAGCGGCTTCAGCTCATAAACTTTGAATAAAATGTTTTGTTTCTACAGGTTTTTATCGCCGTTGTTCGCTTAGTTCGGTGCAGCTTTTCGCCTCCTGTCCTCCCGGGAGGAAGTGCTTTGAAATTTGGCGCGCCACTCCTGGGGCTTCCTTGCACGAGAACACGCGTCATGTCCTGCTCCGCCCTGATTGGCTGAGGGCCAAGGCGCCTTCAGCGGGAACAGGACGGGCTGAGTCCGGGGACCAGAATCACAGCTGCTGAACAGCTCAGTGGAGGAATAAAGCTCCTTTGAATTTGAATAACTAGTACATTAACTCAAGTACTTAAGTACAAATCCCAGGTAAGTTAGTTGTACTGCAACTCCATGCTGTACTCCACAGAGTGGGTGAAAGAACCAGCCATTCATCGTATATTTTACTTATGTTAATGTGCTGTAGCAATAGAAAAACTTCAGGGTAAAAGTAGGCTACTGCAAGTAAAGGTCATGCATTCATAATCTTAGTTCATAGTATACATTATGTATATATTGTAGATTACCCTGTAACAGCATACATCAATTTATATGTAATAAATACACTGTTTACACTGCCATATTCACCTACCTACATCATTCATGTACTAAAAGTTTTAAGTTATCATTATCAGGAATGGAAATATACTGTATATTATATTACTGCATGGATATAATTAGTATTGCATGAATTATTACATTACTTTAATGTTGCAGCTTTGTAAGGTGGGGCTTATTTTAATTACTTTATACACTGTCATATATAGTATTATTAGACATCACACTTAATTCTTTTTTTGTATTGATAACATGAATCAACAAGGTGACTAAATCTGTCAAATATATTTAGTTGACTAAAAGTCAGCAATAAATGGAACAACTCAAGTAGTAACATTTTAGAACCTTTAAAGTTATACCTTAAAGTGCATTACCTTACTTACGGTCCACCACTGCTAGGCTACTTCTCAAAATATTGTACTTTTCCCCTCGCTACATTCCAACTTAACTGACATGTACATTCTAAAATGTTGGAAACACCCCTCATCTCAAACTGTGTTACACACTACAGTTAAAGCATTGAGAAAACGTTATGTAAGTAAGTTGCAGGCCTTTTGCTTCGCAACCCACTCTGCCCACAAGAAAGGGGAGTTTATATTTTAAGTTGATAGAAGTTTATAAAATCAATTTTATTCCTAACACAACTTTCAGTAGCTTGTAGCTCTGTGTATATTCAAAGTTAAAGAGATTAAATATGTCTGAAACTTTGAGATCCTCTCTAGACTATTACAAAATAGGTTTTCCTTGGAATACATGACTGAAATTAAAATGTAAATACTTGAGTTAGTATGAATGAAATCAGAGTATTAAAAGCAGGTGCACATAAAAAACAACAACGTTGGATTCATTCTCTGTTGAAAATTCATTTAATTGGAATTATTCATTCATTACAGAAAAAGAGAAGCTTTATAAAAGTCTTTGCAGGGTGCCGAAGGGTCTAATATGATACGGGTATATAAATATTCATATTCTTCAAGCAAACAAGGGTGTATGGCCACTTGTTCATGGCAGTGCAGTGAAGTATCGCTAGAGTCAATGATTACCGATCTGGAGCAATGAGATCTGAACTCTTATAAGATATAATAAAGCATTCAAGTGATTTCTCTCAAAGTGAAAGTAACAACAAGGAACAACATGCAAACTCAATGTGCACTATCCTGAGGAATAAACGATTAAATGTTTCCGTGTTTAATGTGCATGTGACAATAAAGCAGAATTAATATGACTTCAATTAAAGAAATGTAAACCTTAAACACAACACCAAATAAAATCAAACCACAAAAATGTTACATATATTTTTCTAAAGGCGTCATACTTCAGAATTCATACAGATTTAACAAACCGACCCATACCTGTGATGATGTTATCCCACATCTCTTCACAAAGAAAAGAAGCAACAGCAGTAATATTAACAGTGGCAATACTTCTCCTGCCCAAACCATGTGCTAAAACAACTAACAGGATATCGTTTTGCCTCAAAAGCCATCCTGACTCTGGGGGTTCCCAAAACTAATGTCTAATCGATTAGAATTAGATCGAAACCCTCAAATAAACATAAGCCTTAACTCAGAAGTGATGTTAAAGGAGAGTACTAGTTGATTTCCTCTTGTGATTTTCCGAAAGGGAAAAAACTAATTTTGTATACCATTACATTTCCAATTAAAAAAGTTTGACTTTTCCAAATGGAGGCTTCAAAGTTTAAATGTGTTATATGTTCATCATTATTTTAGATTTTCAAAATAATGAGTTATTGTGTGTGCACCCAAAAGATTTGTGATTGGCAGCAACCTTTAAAAATCTGAAATATTCTTCTCTAACTATCACTCTCAGCTTAATGCCAGCATTGACAAGTGATGTTAAGACCCAGGAGGATCATGGGAAAACCAAATCTCAGCGAAAAGGATGGACTTAGGAGAACAGCGATACAGACAACTGCAATTCATACTATTATTATTAGAGATCATCATCACGGCTGCTGTCCCACAACAAATCTACAGGTCAGCATGCTGCAGTTACACTACCTCTTCAGGACAGCGGGTATAGGCTATAATATCAGAGTATGGAGATACATCAATAAGCACATTAGTTGCAGGAGTAGTCTTTTTGGTGCTAAATATGATGCAACAAAAAGTTCTGACAATGTATTCAATGTCCATTCATTCAAAAGAAGTGCGATTTATTTTTGTAGTTAATGCATTAGTTTGGGATGAGGTACGTTTGTCCCAAAGTAAATACATTGATTATATGAAAGTATTTTTTTAGGAATATTATTTAATCTTTTTTCTTGTATAAAAAAACATTCTCAGGTGCTGGGAGTATCACGGTGGGGGCAGACGTGTGACAAAGAACTATTTCTAAGCAGACAGTACAATGCATTTCTGAATCATTTCCAATGTTTGTCCAGAGATGGAGTTCTGCTGAACTGGGATCAGTTCAAGTCCAAGTGTGTGTTAGAGGGTGAGCTGATGAGGAACAGTGGCTTTTCAGTTATATTCAATTATGAGTCATCAATCAAAGTTAGGAATATATTCAATCACAGCAAGAGCCACTGACTTGCGCTGCAATGAATTACATTTAATTAATCTCAGTGTTAGAAAAGGCAGATGACATTCATCTCGTATTTTCTATGATGATCAGCGGGATCACCAAACTGTGACACTGCAGAGATCATTTCATGGGTTTTCATTACATTCTTTGGAAATATAGAGAATAGTGGATTAGCAGGAGATTGAATCTACCAGAATTGAAAGAACATTTTATTAAATTCTCGCCCTACGCACACAGGGACGAGCACTTCTGCTCTGGCTTTGTGAATGGCGGCTCTGATGTGTAATGAAACAGAAAACACCAGACAATGTTGAATGACAGAGTGAAATCCTTTCATAAAGACTTCCTCAGCTGAGAGTTCCTGAACTATAGTATTATTATTCCATCAGGCACACGCTGACATCCAAAGCAGGCTCTTTGCCCTCCACCCTGTACAATACTTCGTGTCCTTCAGCAGGGACTTTTAATGCGCGTTAAGAATAAAACATTTGATCTGCACTGAAAACAGCTCGATGTGATCGCAACAGACCTGAAGAGAACATCCTTACTGAACGTTACGCTCAACAAAGAAATGACCATGCAAAGTGTTGGCAGAGGTGGAAAAATTGCTTAATTAGAATTAAAAAAGACTATTGTCCTAAAGGGGACATATTATTCTCATCTCCAGGTTCATATTTATATTTTGTGCCTCTACTCTGACTTTGAAATACTCCAATACACGCAAAGGTACTGCATTTCAAATGCAGAAGTACAGAAGTATTTTCAGCCAAATGTACTCAAAGCCTCAAAAGTAAAAGTAATTGGTATGCAGGATGGCCCTTTGAGGATGTACTATATGATAATAGATTATTATACAGTATAATCTTGTTTTAATCACTAACACATCCATGTAGGAGCATTTTAATGTTGTTTTTTGTCAATGTTTGGCCAATTTCAGATACAATACTGGTTTGATTAGTACAGTAATGCATCATATCATATACTGTAAGTGGATATGTACTATATTTGCTTTTATAATGTCCCGGAATAGAAGTACAAGGTAGCATAAAATGGAAAACTCAAGTAAAGTACAGTTATGTCCAAATGAGGTGTGGTACCTGAGTAAATGTACTTAGTTACATTCCACCACTGCATGTTGGTTTCCTTGTGTCAGTCTACAAAGCTGTTACTGTGTAATAGTGCACCCCTGAGGCGACTACAGATACTCCAACACTACTGAACGAATATCTATGAAAGGATTTCACGCAGCGTCTCCATGACCCCAACATTTAAACGTGACATGAGTAAGAGCGAGCGTCTTCCTCCAGCACTACGTGTTTGTTTTCTACCTGCTGTGGACGCGCGGTTAAAGGATCAATGCAGCGTTTGGATAGTATAAAACCTTGCATAAGCCTTGCAGTGAGAAACATATTAGTATCTTCACACTATACACATGCAGATCACATTTCTTTATATATACAACAGTGGGAAAAAAGGGTGATGTTGAGATGTCAGGTTCCTCATTCTGCCCGGTGGGATGTCTCAGTGATATCATAATGAATATTGCTTTAGAATTCATTGAAGATAAGTCACTTGACCACCAATTTGTTATGACCTAATCTCCTTATCAGAGCTTATTTGAATCAACCTGATATTTACATCAAACACAAAGTCAGTTTTGGAGCCTTACTGTCTTTGTGTTGTATATAAATCTGAACCATTACCTGAACAAGCAAATGTGCTTCTCTGCAAAACAGCCATACAAAATCAATATCCAATAACAAGTAGGGTGTGCACATCACTTTACACATTCAGGGTTTATATATTTTCCCTTTGCAGTAAATAAAAACTAAATCAAAGCCGCTTTTTCCTGAATAAGAAGGGACCTAGTTAGTCGTTTCTTTTTGCAAATCCATATATTGCATTTACAATAGCTGCTACTTTTTACATTTTTTGTTATAACGCATCGCAATCGCATGATAAACGTTGTGCTCTTCTCGCTCAGACACCAATCGTGGGTGTCCGTGCGGCTGCTTTTAGTAACCCTATGAGGTCGTAAATCTTACAGACTTTCCAGGTTTACTTTACTGCAGATATGAACAGAAGGGACGGTGGACCCTGTCCGGATGGATATCAGTGTGTTTGGTGTGTTTCATGGGGTGAAGTAGGTGATGGATGTTTTTGATGGACTCTGCTTTGATTCCTTAAAGCAGTAAACGTGTTGCAAGGGTTCAATGTCAATCTCTGACTGTGGAGGGGGTCTCATGTTTCCTCAGCATTGGAAATCAGTTTCCTGTGAGCTGAGTTGGCAGGGAACTAATTAGTCAACATTTGAATATGTTGTTCATCTAATTGACTTTATTCATGCTTGAACTTATGCCGCTCTCTCATCTTCATCTCTGTCGTACTGCTTGTGGGTTTTTTGAAATCCTCCATCAATATGTTTATTGTTGTAAAGTGTGTAATTAAATGATACGCTGGCTGATGGAGGCAAACACCCTACAACGGCCCAAAACGATTAGGCTGCACTTTCAAAAACCATGTTGGTAGAGTTAGTCTGTCTAGTAGTCAAGTGTTTTGTCAGTATAACTGAAATGAGGTTAGCTACGTTAGCTAGTGATATAATAATATGGGAAGGAATGATGCAATCACATTCTTAAAAAAGTCAATAAAACAAACATTTGAGTTTTTCTGTGACAGTGTGCAAATGTTATCATCCTAACGTCAACAAGCGCTCCGGTCCCAGCTGTATGGATCATTTAGTGTTTCCGTTGTGTTTAGAGATTCCTGCAGCATGTTTCGATTTGCAGCGTTCTGTGTTTGTGCATGTGTTGTCAAGTTGTTGAAGATGTGTACTCATTTGCATGTGTTTTGGCACATTTGCGTTTTTATGTGCATTGTTTTTGAAAGTGCATTGCATTTCTCCTAATAAGCATTTTGGGCCGTTGTAGCCACCGTAAAACGAGCCACTCTTTAGTCTTTTTGGTGTCACAAGGAGACAAAGTCTTAATAATCAGCTACCTGGTCAACAGTATCTGTACCTACTTTGATCTGTTCTTATTTAAACTCACACAGTTCAGTTTGAACTGGTAATTATTGGGATTTAAAATACCTTTGACTGAGAAAGATGGTGTAAAGAATAACTGAATATATTTAAACTATATTGGTTGTAAACATTTGACCTTATACGCTATTACTGGTACAGTTAATAGCAGGACTGAATATTGTGTTGTACTAATGGGTTTGGATTCACAGAGCACAAGCCGCTTTGAGCTATTATTCTGAACGGTTAATTAAGGTCCTCTGAGGTTGCCCTTCTCTTTTTCATTTCCTATTTTCCAGGAGCTGAAAGGGATCATGTTTCCATGCAGAGCACTGAATGTCTCATAATGTAAGTTGCTTTCTAACACACACACACCCACACACACACCTTCACAATCGACTCTCTGTTGGGGCTGTCGGCTGCCTGCTATCCGGTCCCTACATTTTGATAAATAACTGGGCTACAATTATCTGAGATTTGTCCCATGGAAGGCAGTCGAGAGGAAAACAGGATGGTTTAAATCATAAAAGTCAATGGTCTGTTCTCCGAATAGTACCCTGATCCATCTCTGAGGTCTCTTCTATCGCCGCTGCTCACTCTATGGTGTCCGTGAACTGGTACTTTCTGCAAAGGGACCAATGATGTTCTCGGGAACCATTCCAAAAGTGTTTCGCAGTGTTCTCCTAATTTATTTTGCCCTGACAGGGCTCGGGACAATTCCACTGGGGGGGGGGGGAGAGTTTCAAGAGTATATGCTGTGGCTCTTGAGGGAATATCTAGCAAATATATGAGAGGGGAAAAAAAACAATCACCGTCACTCACATAGGAGTGGTGCTATTCAATTTACAGAGCTTGTTTCTGTGCAGGCAAGTTGAGGAGGTTTTTTCTAGTGGATATCTGTGAATGAGTGCTGAGACAAGCACTTGTGTCTGAGAGGCAGAGGCGCTTTCTGACATACTTGCATTGTAGAGTCTGTGGATGGATGGAATGCAATCATTGCTGTTTGTCTGATGCCGTGAGAGCAGATGCAAGTGTTGTCAGGCAACACACTGAGATTCTCCTCAATACAGGAGAGGCTTTTTGCTGCTGTTGTCAGTCTCCTTGGTCTTAGTGAATCATTTCTGATTCCTCAGAGCCGGCTGACTCCCACTGTCACCTTGTTGACAGGGGGTGAAATCATTTGATCCCTTTAAGGTGTTTTCCCAACATTGCTGAGAGGGTTTTAACCCCTTTTTCAAATAGCTTCCTTTTATTGCCCGTTGAAGCTCGCATGCAGTCAGTCTACGCTAACGTCAGCATTTTCCTAACTATGATATCTACTTTAATGTTTCATTTAAATGCATGCATTTTCCATATGAGAGTGTGGGTTTACTCTTTTGCATCTAACTTTTCAGTGCTCAGTGCGTTACGTTTTGTGCGTTTTGTGCAACATTTTCTTTTGGTCTAATATGACATCTGGATCCAAGCATGAATATTTTGTCTGTGTCGTCGATTGAAATGCAGTGATGAAGGACTCGTGGTGTTTGGATATGATGGACGGAGCCAGATTGTTGTGGCTACAAAACACACCGTGGTGCCTCTCAGGTGCTCTGGGCCGACTCCTCCTTTTGCCCCACCTCTTCGCTCTCAGCCCCTCCCTCCTTCTGGGCTGGATCTGACCCCACGGTGCCCCCGGAGGTTGCTCCCGGCGATGCGGCTCCGTGCAGGCTGCCGTTGGGGGTGGCAGCAGCAGCAGCAGCGAGCGAGCGTGGATTGGAAGCTGGGCTCGCACTCATGGCTGAGTCAGGGGTCCGGCTGCCGCTGAGGTCCCCGTCGGGGGCCAGGGTGGCCTCCGGGCTCTCGGGGGGAACTTCTTCCGTCATGGCTGTGGGGGAGACGGCTTTCAGGAGGGGCTTGTGGGAGGCGTAGGTCATGCCGCCATCCGTATCGCTGTCCAGTGGGAGGCCAGAGGAGGTGAACTCCACCCCGGAGTCGCTCATCTCCAAAAGGTTGTCAGAGGAGAGAGTGTGATAGCGGCCCGGTTTGGACACCTCCAGACCCTGAAGAGAGTAAGGGAGGAGGAGACACAGGAGAGGAGTGGTTAGAGGAAGGGAGGAGGGTGAGGGTCATGAAAGACACAGGGAATGTGAAATTACCATGGGCAAGGAAAACACAAAGAAGAATAGAGACGAGAAAAGAGGAGAGAATAATAAAACAACAGGGGGCAGAAAGAGAGGGAAACCAGGACCAAAAGGATCCCCCCACCAGAGGGGAAGAGATGGAAGTGAAGAAGCAGAGGTGGTAAAATGTAGGTCAGGAAACGCAACGTGAATAATGTATGCACATGTTTCCGGGTCCATATTTATAGATTTACCTTCCACTCCCAGCTACCAACCTGACTTATGTTCCTCCTTGCATGACAACATGCACAGCAGCTGTGAATTGTTCATGGCACCAGCTCTCTGCCAGGCCTCCTGAACATTACCGCCCCATTACCTTCGCTACCCGGATTCCTACTACCACCTAATACTACATTGACATCGGATGTATTCTCTGCGTGACTATATCTAACTGTAAATCTTCCTTGAAAATGTATTTCATCAGTGCTACTTTGTTTTTATGTTGCCTTTGTTGTATTATTTTATATTAAATTCCTCTGTGTGTTGCAAGGGTCAGGTCTACAACTGGGCTACACGGTCTGAATGTGAACATTAAACTGTGATGGCAGTGTGTACAATGGGAATCTACAGGAGTCCACTTACTGTAAGTGTGTTGACACCAAAAGAATCACTAAAGAGTGTTGAATGCAGGCTATGAATGACACCTCACTCCTTCATTAAACTTGCAGATTGGTATTCAGACACTATGGATAGTCATTTAAAACCTACACACATGTAAAAGGTTGTTGCCCAATTATGGATGCCAGGATAGTTTTTTATGTTTAATCAACAAACCTAAGAAAGCTACTTCAGTTGAATTCTGATCCTTTGAGTCGGATTGCTGCAGAAGCTCTTTTCAAACTGAACCATAACCACTTTCTCTCGCTTTCACTTAAGGTCCATTCCATAAACTTGAATCTAATCAGTTTCCTTACTCAGTGTAAAGGTTCATTGCATTTTAATTGCACTTGGCATTGATGTGACTCTATAATCTTAAACAGAGGATGGTTAATGACCTGTTTTTCAGATCTGTTGTTTTATTGATATACCGCCTTGTAGGAAACCTTTCCTACAAGGCGTATTAGACTCCAGATGAAGACTTTTATTATTGTTGGAATGATTCTTGGACTCTGTATGTTATTAAAATTGTTATGCAACCTAAATATTCTGCTTGTTTTGCTGACCTATGAGCCTGATTTCCACTTTGTCACCAAACAATCTTATGATGGTTTCATTTTTACAAAATAAAACCTGCTTTTGTCTAAAACTCATGGCTGGCGTTTTAATAAAAAGTAATAAATAACTTAAGGCAGATATAAGCGGCATGTTGATAATGCATTACAACATAATTCTGTTTGAGGTCAACCTCTTTGCTTTCGTTGTTCCACCACTGACCTTTATGGGGACCTCTGTGCTCTCCGACGGGTTCTCACACACAGACTGCATCAGAGATTCCTCAGTGAACCTGGTGTAAGCGTCTTGGACCACCTGCAGACCCACACACACAAACACACACACACAGACATACATACATATGTCAAAATGCAGCCAAAACAACGTTCTGCCCCAGCAGCAAACTAGTCATCATAAAACACAAAGACACCGCTAGAGAGGACACAAACACACGTCACTGGACACAAAGCCCCATATAGGATATTGAAGAGGAAGTTTTTGTGACATGACTGAGAGACAAGCTGAATTATTTGTCCTGACGGGGTGTCGGGAGGTTGAGAGGAAACAGAGCCAAGGGGGCTGCAATCGCTCAAATGTCGGCCTCACTGAACAGCACCGAGACACCACTAGGGATAGATAAATGGATAGATGCTTTTGGATTAAAGAGTCGAAGAGGAAGAGGTGGAGAGGAAAGAAAGAGATGGATTTGTTGAAAAATAAGTCCTAGATGAAAGCTAATAGAGGCAGTTAAGAGAATGAGGGAAATAGATAAAGCTGTGAAGCATGGTATTTAAAGGGGCCCTTTAAGACTCATTTTCAGGTTCATATTTGTGTTTTCTGTCTCTACTGTGACGTGTCTCAGACTGACTGCTTTGATGTTCAAAAAGCTCTTTATTTTCTCATACTACCTGTGCTGCAGCACCTCTTTTCACCCTCTGTCTGAAACCAGAGCCCAAGCTGCTCTGATTGGTTAGCTGGCCAGCTCTGTGGTGATTGGTCAACCGCTTGGAGAAGTCCTGCCCCTTATCCCATTATCACTTACAATGTGTTGGAGCTTTTGCCACTAGAAGTGCAAGTGTTACATAGTGATGGAAGTAAAGACATTAGTCCAATAGAGACTTGTACAGTATTTATATCATCTTCAGATATATCATAATGATCCTATGTTTACTTTCACTATTATTACAGCTGTATTTTTGAAATTGACAATGAGAGAGGGGAAGGGAAAGGGATTCAGGAGTATGAGGTATGATCGATTTTAGTTTAATATCCGACTCTCTTGGGTATTGTCCAGAGAGGCCGCTGACAACCTCTCACGCGTGTTCTGTGTTCTCAGATCTATGAGGAAATCCATAACATGTCAGAGATCAAGGGCAACTGCCGTCATCTCAACCTCCTACTGTCAACATACAAACACAAGTTCACATACACACTGGACCCACAAACACACCCAAAACAAAATCAACACAGTGAGTGAGAGAGATACAGGGGAGTGTGACCTGCTGATTTTACATGTATTATTCTATTTACTTACCTATTATATTGACTGCTCTTCCAGTGCTTTTGCTAGTTACTGAAATAAGTATTTTAAGTATACTATTTACAGTCAACTGTTATTGGTCGCACTAACAGTAAGGAAATAGAATCTTGTTGTAAGTAGTTATTGTTTTAATTTAGTGTGTAATCAATAGTAATAATCGAGGCAATGACATGGAAAAGGTGCCAAATGATCTTATGTGTCTAAATGAGGGAGTGGTGTAAAGCTAATAGCTAAAAAACATTTGCTTATTACGATGTTATAGCTAAACATGCAGCAAGGATGACATTTTATACAGACATTTATGGTTCCAAGAGGAAACCTAATACTTTTAGTGATCGCCTGACTTTTCCTGTTGCACCTCTATTCTTCTTTGTAATAAATCCGGAATCCATTTTGAAGGGGCAGTTGTTTGGATTTTTTGATATTTTTACAAATAAGACTTTACTAATATCAAATAAGAAACTAAGCATGTGAAGAATAGTGACACATGTAAGTGATGGTTTTTGTTCAGTAATTACACTTGGGAATAAATGTAAAAACAGCACGTCACAGGGGAGTTTTCTCAATGTCACATGTCATAATTATGGCTTGAAAACTAGAATATGAACAAATAACATCTAATTCACAGAAACTAGACAAACACAGATGGACACAGACCGCACGCCAACACACTTACTGGGCATGTGGTTACACAGTAACAAGAACAACAACTCCACTGTACATCATGAAGGTTCAATAACTAATCACTACTGCCCAGGCACGTGCACACAGACATCAAAGTGGGCTTGAGCCCCTGCCATTTTTCTTCCTCCAGAGAAAGCGCCCTTTTTTGTTTTAAATAAATTAATATATATCTACTGCTGTTTGCGCATAGTTTCCTTTCCAAAAATATATTGATTGAATACTAAATAAAAATATCAGGTCAGGAGATTAGACTGTGAAGTTCCGATGCTCTCTCTACCCTCCCTCCCTCCACGTCTCGCGCACAGCGATGCGGACATCGGCAGTCACTTCAGACAGCAGCACCTCCCACTTTACTGTCCCATGTTATGCCAGCTTTTCTTGGCTTGTTTGAAAGTGAGTGATGATGAACAAATGACTAAACTGCCAGTGCCTCGAGTTTACAGCTAATTAGCTAAAAGACAAAAACTAATATAGGCATTGCAGATGAAAAGGATAAAACAAAAAACAAACAAAAAAACATATCACCTCACAACTTCCCCAGATATTTACTTACGTCAAGTCAGTATTTTCCCCTGAAATGTTATGTTAAATGCAGATTAGTTTGAAATCTATAGATGTATTCAGACGTGCAGTAAAACGAACACCATTTATCTGTGTTTTTTGGAAGTTTTCTTTCCATTAGAGTGAAAGCAAACATGGAAGCAAAATAGACCAAAATAACAAAATGTACAAGTACATGAAAAAACGATCTTTTAGCCTGTAATGTCCTTAAACAGTCACTTCATCATTTTGATTGTTGGCTGCTCATTTAATAACTATTCATTGTACTAGTTTTTGTCTGCATTGTGAATACTAAAGAAGACCATTGTCTCTGTGTTAGCTGATTATTTTGTAGAATTCTGTTGAGTATTAAACAATTGCGTGAGTGTGAGGGTATTCAAATAGATTGGCCAGTAGGTCAGAGATGTGCAACTATATTTAACTTTTTGTTTTAAAACATTTTTTTTATAAATGATTATGGGAAGTGCCCTTTTTCTCACTTGAGCTCCCGCCCCCAAAAATGTCTGTGCACGTCCCTGCTACTGCCCTAACACATACACAGCACGCAAAACCAGCACGGTTACCCACACATACACAGCATATTCACCTTGTTAATCAACCCATACAATAAAACAACACTCAAGATACATAATGTGCATGTGTGGTAGCTGAATCACCACACACTGTATGTGTATGTGAAGCTGCATGTTGGCACTTATCATAACTAGATTGTTTATGAGTAACTGCAGGTCTGCATCTGAGCCGTAAACCAGCGGAACTAAAAAGACAGTGAGAGAGAAACAAAGGAAGGACAGCGAGAGGCAAAGCAGAGGCGTGGGGGGCACACATGACATCAGTGTGATGTCATCTCAAATCATTGCTCAGCTGCAGTTACACACACCAATATAGAGGAGAGCTTAGACATCTTAATTAGTCACTCAGGACCTATACTTAGGTTTAAAACCTTATTTTCTTAAAGCAAGTGAACAACTCTACTCTACATTGGCTTGTTTCATAGACTGTCTTTGAGCAAGGCAGAGTGTCACTCTTTTTAAGAAACGTAAGATTTTGATAGTTAAATATTAGATTGAATTACTTCAAAATGGACATTTTTGCAGTTTGCACCCCGACCTGGTTCAAAACCGTATCTAAAATCCCTGCAGATAATTCACACTCATGACTGAGCTTGTCAAACTAACAGACATTAGGCACTGATCATTTGCCTCCCATGCTGTTGACCATACTCAAAAACAACAACACTGTGTAACATCATTTTTTAATGATTTCACAGGCTCCTGGCAGCTGTTGGTTTCTAGACCTTATGTACTTATATTTGTAGGTAAGGTATACTTGGACAAAGCTCAGTCATTTGAATGTTGAATACTCTTTAAAGATCCCAGACACGGATTGTCCCAGATTGTGGAGCCCCACTTAAGGTAATTCATTGACTTTTTCTCAAAGTAGGTCTTCGATCAACTTCTGCCTGTTCATTTAGAAGGATAGCAGATTCTCCTCGGTGTTCAGGGTTTATTTAGTGTGTTGGTGGGGCATTGCTTTGATGGATTTGTATCATCTCAAAACCACACGATTTACCTAATACTGAACAAACATTTCTTAAACTGTCAAAAGTTGATCAAGGAACTATTTTGTACAAAAAAAAAGGAGAGTACATTTCTCTAGACACCAAAGGAAGGGCAGTAAAAAAGGAGGCGAGAACACAATTGTCTCACCAAGAAGAGGCTCCGTTTGAGGCTCCTTAAAGTAAGAGGGAGAAACGTAACGCACAGGCAACAGCGTTAGCTGGGCCACGGACCACAGGCATCCAGCTGGGAGCAGGAAGTCTGCACAGCTTTATTTTCAATTGACTCAAGCTGAACCAAGAGGCACATCAGAAACTTATCACATATATTATTTAAAACAAAAACAAACATACATAAATACAAACACATGACCCTTAATGATGTAAATAGTTGAATTGAAGTTACATTTAAAAATGTGAAGCAACCTTAAAAAGACAGAATAAGGAATGTTTTATCTTAACAGCCTCACAAGACTGTCAGCTAAGACCTGCCTGCATGTCTATACAGTAGGTTCGGCGAAATCTGAATCTATGGAAACAATACAAATCCACTGCAACATGCATACAATTATACGGGGGGAAAAAAGAGAACAGAGAAACATAAGTAACATTAATGTGTCATCACACACAAATACTCGCTTTTTCAAAGGCTGTAAATAACTGGTGCATTGCCCGTTGTTTTATTTGTTCAATTTGTCTCAAATTCTGGCCTCTGTTGGTGAACTCAAGTCAAAAGTCTCAGTCCTGATTTCTTCAAACCACATCTACACTTCTCTAAGTTGGGATCACATGTTTTAGAGTATTATATGACCTGACATCACTATATCCATCACAGAGAGGCGGTTACAAATGTATTATCTTCCACTTAAAGATAGCTACTGTGTGTTGCAACAGTACATGATGTTTATCTCACACCAGCTTCCACTCTAGCTCTGTGGTTTGGATCAATTATTATATTATTACCAGAACTTGTAAAGCCGCACTCAGACCATTTCTATTATTTCTATAATTATCATTCCATTTCCGGATGATCTATGGAGTCATGATCACTTAATTTGATATCAAAGACAGTCAATTGATCCAAGAAAGCCTTTATTCTGACTCCAGTGAGTTTTAATTGAACCACAATTACATGTTCTCTCAGAACATTAACTCTGGATGCTGGAGAGAGAGGGGATATCTGTCAGATGTTTTAAAGATCAAATAATTAAATGTATCATTCATTTTGGAAAACAGTACTCTGATTATAAACTCTGATTATAAGACGTCTAAAATAACCTTTGATAAATCAGTCCCATCGATTTGTAATTATATGAAAATGATCATTGGTGATAAGATAAGACCGGCAGAGTTTGAAACGCAACACTTGAGGTATACAGTTTTTTTTTTAAAAACACTCATGTAATTAATCTGGACATATCTCTGTTAACAATGGAGCCTGTATTGAACTAAACATTATATGGCGTCCCTCTGTGGAACAATCAATATCTGAATCTGATGTTTAGGTGTTTTTTTACAGCCGAGTCATCAGTGTGTAATGGGCTTTTAATTGATCTATACATTCAGTTGGTTAACAAACCCCAACTGTGGACGCTAAAAGGAGGGCCGTAGTGTCAGAAAGGTTAACTGTCAACTCCTCTTCATCATCCCATCGGTCAGTCTAGCCAGTATTGAGCAGGTGATAACAGGCAGAGCAAAGATTTTCAAATAGAAATAAATAGAAAACAATAGAAAACAAGAAGTGTATTTTAGTTGTTTGTTGTGTACTTGTGCTCAAGCATTGATAGTCGTCAAATGAAATTCCTAATTGAATAGTTGTGAAAAATAAATTCAAATGAAAACGACTGACTCTCAAAAGCCTTTCTGTAGCGATACACCCAATCTAAAAACTGATTAATAGTTCAAAATTCAAATGAGTAATAAAGTAGTGCAAAAGGGATTTTATTACGTGACACAGGGTGCTTGTTATTGTAGGAACATTCAGTCATGTATATGACAAAACTACTACCCTGTGCAAAGAAACCATTTACAAATGTTGATACAATATAATATTTGTGCCAACATCTTGTCACTACCACTGACACTAGAGAGACTGTAACTTGGACCTGTTCTTCATTAATAATGAAAATGTGAGCTGTGTCAAAACGTGTGAAAGTGGATTGCCACGGCTCAAAGGTTCCACATTTGAATGCAGTATGTTTCAGGCTTAAGTCTCCATCTCATAGTAAATTAGTAATAACTGGCAGAGCTGTAGTCGTTTACTTTAACACCACATACATTAATCCCTTCTGTTCCTTGAATGTATATGTTTGACTGTAAGAGTAAAAGAAGAAAAAAGAGACCCAGGGAGCTGAACGATAAATACTAAAGCTGCGGTCGAATAGTAAAAAAATGACGTTTCCTGATCAATTTTCTCGATCTCTCCTCTGTGGAAAAGTGTTAAGCATGAAGCAAGTTGTTAGGGAGAATTCCTGAGCACACAAGAGACAACCACAATGCTAAGGAAATTTTCCAATGAACTAGACCAAGGATATATATTTTTTAAGTTAATATATTTATAACAAATAGAACTTGAGTCCACACCTTGACATTTTCCAGATTGTACATTAAACAACAAGGACAGATGTTTCTTACAGACACATGCTGGGTCAATATAATTGTTGCTGCTGTAATCAATTGTGATCCAGTTTGCCTTAACTAAATATAATAAGCAATCAACCACTTTGCATTTAGAGGATTCAACCAACTTTGATCCTACTGTAGCTGCAGATTAGATTCCTTCTGGTTTATCCCTCTGTTAGGAACCTTCCTAAGCTAAAAAGACAATTTGATTGCAACCTATATTTCTTGTGAGTTTTCCGCTGCATTGTGGTTGTCTTTAATTGGACTGTACCATATGATCTCAGTAGGGGAGGATTGTACCAGCTGGCCAACCTATCTCCAACAACAGGAACATCCTGTTCTACCTTTTAATCCTTTTGCAGCAGACAAACAGACCTTACTTTCACCATGTGACACATGTTCATTTAGCCTAAAGATCCACTGTTCCACCAGGGCCTTTTCTTATTTATATCTCAGTGACTCTACAACACTCCTCCATTCATAAGACATGAAGACGGTAATACAATAGGTGGATGTTACCTGTCTGAAAGCCTCTCCTTCTTTATTGCCGGCCTGCTGAGCGAGCAGAATCACCCTCTTGTCCTTCTCATTCCTCATGTGCACTCTGTAGACACAGGACAGCAGGCAGAGCAGCAGCATGAAGGCGATCACACCCATCAGAGCCAGGATGGCTACAGTCAGACGAGGCAGCTTATAGGCTGGGGGGGGAGAAACCACAAACACAGAGAAAAAGAATCAGCCTACTGTGACCTCATGCATAAATGCTGCTTCAAACTGTGTAGTAAAGCTACTCATCTGTTTCTTGTGGTTTTGCTATTATGACACCTTCATTGTTTACATTTATGACTAGCCTAATACTGAGTTTAGCTGTAAAGTATCAAATGGCACTCTATATAAAAGAGGCAATAGAATAAAGCAATGGACTGGGGGTGTGGATTTCTTCTGTTACTTTGATTTCGATCCTGTCAATGGTCCAACAGTGTTATGAGTGCAAAGCTAAATCGGAAGGGTATTATTTTAAGAGATGATCTGTGTTCACTGACACTTGTGATCTCAATGGTTTCAAAATAGCTCTGAGTTCACAGCTATGCAGGATGTGCCAGCCTGCTTGTATACTTATTCAAGATGCATTACTTTGACTGTCTCTACACTATTCCTACTGTATGAAAGTCTTTCAATCAACACAATCTATTAGAAGCTTTTTTTAAATGTTATATAAGATATCACTGTTAATCTTTCTCCAGTATATAAACCGATGCAGGTTAGTTGTATGCGTAGCCTAGCAGATGTTGGATGGTTGCTAGGCTAGGTTAAGGCAGAGAACATATTGAACATATAGTGCATGTTAGTTCATAAAAATATTGTAGAAAAATATCTAACTTCGATATAACCCTATCATTTCTAAGTCATTTCTGATACCGAGCTCCGATGCTGAAAAGGCATCGGAAAACGGCTGTCCTTATTCCTCCGACCTAGGTTTACAACGTTCCCGCTAAAATCTACACGCAAGACCACCTGCTTAGGGAGGCAACTCACAGCGTGGCCTCAAACACTGTTTGCTGTTGTATCACTTATTTCAGGCACTAAAACGTTGCATGTCTGACGGCTAGGATATCAACGGAATGTGTAGTGTAGGTGTTGGTGGGCTGGTAGAACCCCAGAGCAGAGTCCTGCATCGGGTCGGGTACCCGCGGGTACCCGACGGGTGACCCGCAAAAAAGGTGATTCGCGGGTGGTATTTTTTCAAACACTTTTTTCCGGGTTCGGTTCTGGGTAAAACAAAGATGATGCGGGTCGGGTCGCGGGTATTGCATAATAAATATATTAAAATAATAGTAATTTAGTTTAATGTTTAAAATCCTCAGACCTCTCCCCCGCGGGACCGCGCATAATCATAACCTCTGCAGCTCATCAATCTGCTGCTGTGCGCGCCACATTCGAAATGGCTGAGGTGAAGCTCTCTAACGGAGAATACAGCATTTTCAATAACACTTCCTCAAGAGCGAAATCCAACGTCTGGGAGGCTTTTGGTTCCTAGACGGAGAAAATAACCAACATCCCACGCTTTTTGAGACAAATATGCAACTGCGTGTGTTAATAATTGCACGTTTTCACTGCTCATAGGCTATGCGGGTTCGGGTCGGTTGCGGATCTTGTGCCGACGGGTCGGGTCGGGTTGCGGAACTAATTGGCAATATGTGCGGGTAGCGGGGCGGGTTCGGTATTGCACTTCGCGGGTGCGGGGCGGGAGCGGGTCTTGAAAATCAGACCCGTGCAGGACTCTGCCCCAGAGCAGTATCAAACTGCCCCTGGAGGAGAAACCCTGTAGGACACTCCCCGGTTTAAAGCAGCTTCAGGACCCTCATTCCTTAACCCCCCCCTTTTTTAATCTTAATGATGTCAATTTTAATAATCTAACAAACTGAGCATAAACCAAAGTCAAACACAAATATCACAGCTGTGATCTTACAATGCCAGCAAAGCACAAATCATATTTCAGCATCAATCAAAACCAAATCAACCACAGTTACCGATATGAAACTATAGCTTATCTTTCGCGTGGTTTCTACTTTCCACATTTGAATTCCAACATTTGGAATTTAAATGATCAACTTCTGTCAGCCTTTTCCAAGGAAGGGTGTTCAGTTCTTACCTTACCAAGCAGAAACCTTCAGAGACCACCAGAGACCACAAATTGGGTCAAGATGTAAAAAGTACAAACCGGTTGTGTTGGTTTTTTACAAAAATAGAGGATTACAAGATCCAAAAATTAAAATACAAATACAAAAAGTTTAAGTCAGGTACAAAGTCGAAAGCTTAAACTTCTTTTAACTCAATTGAAAATATGAAAACTAACTTCTTAAATGTTTAATTGTTCTTTTGAGGTAATCTTTTGAGGTTGTAACCGTCCTAGTCAAAATCACAAGGCCTTCTTTCCTAGAATTGGTGAAGAAAACCTACGCTTACTCAAGCTGAGGAGTCAAAAATGAGATTAGTTCAAAAGTTCAGTATGCATCAACTCTGGTTTCCGATGTCTGGTAAGAGATTTCTGAGAAATACTTACTTTCCATCAAACCAAACTAACGCCTATTATATATGTATTAGCAATGGTACATGTCACAGAGATAGGATCGGTAGGTGAGGTCTGTCACGGACACTTAAACAGCAGATCTGTCAACAGTGTTTTCTCCATCTTACCTTCAACCTCTATGTGGACATGAGCCACAGTAAAGCCCGTCAGGTCTGTCACAGTGAAGACCCCCGTGTCTGTGAAGGTGGCCTTCTTCAGGATGAGCTCCGACCCCTCCACACTCAGCCTGCCCTCCAGCTCAGGGTCCAGCGGCGTCACCATGACCCCCTCCTCCAGGATGGGCCGGTCCTGATGGCCGGATTTGGGCCTGTAGACAATGTTAGCGTTGGAGTGGTGCAGGTAGAGTTTTATCTTCCGGTTTTCTCCGTGGATGAGGTGGAGAAAGTCCTGGTGCTCTGTGTGAAGAAATACAACGGTTATAATAGCTGGCTTAGCAATGTGCAGATGCTAATGTAGACTAATTTGTAGACGTTTCTTTTGATGGAAGCCAGTTCATCATGTTCGAGTGAAAAGCTAATAGTTAAAGATGCTAGCTATTCACCGTTAGCGCTGATAGCATAAACATTTCAAAGTAACCTGATTTAATTGAACTGCCCCCTGCTGGTCTGAGAATGTGGAAAGTCAATGCTACACATTTTAATAGCTTCCGGAAATGTTTAATTCATTCTATAGCCTATGTATAATTTCGACCATATGTACCAGACTGAACTTTAGCTCAAACCACATGTAGGCTACAACAGAATATCCTCAAAGAACAACAAGTATGGCTGTGGATAGCCTTGTTAAAAAGGGAGAGTGTGACCTCAAATCAAAGATTAAAATGTTTGTTTTTGTTGCAAAGCGCCATAAAACACTTCAGCAATATCTCTTTCCAGAACTTCCTCCTCCACAGAAAATGTATGGAGCCTCATGAGCAGTTTACTGTAGGAACTAAACTACATTCAGGTCATGATTTCTGAAAAAGACATCTGTGAGTTTTTCACAAACATTTTGTTGGCTTGTATTAGTGTTAGCACCACAAGCAAATAATGATTATGTTCATCTAAATTGGAGAGAAGTTAGATATATCTACGGTTTATGTCTCCTACATGTTTCAACTAACACCAATTGGTGTTAGTTGAAACATGTAGGAGACATAAACCGTTTTTGATTGTTTTTGATTTTTGATTAAAGCAATCATTTTGATTGCTTTAAAGCAATCAAAATAGCGCAATAAGTAAATGTATCTGAGTTGTCAGTTATATTTCATTTCCCTATTGCAACAACTATAAAAACATGCACATATGATTAATATATCCGATAATTAAAACTGAGAGGATGCAGCAGAGCATAAATCTCTCCTCACCTCTCACATTCAGACAGTTTCTCCTTCTCACTTTGCCCTCACGGTCCAACACTGTGAAGCTCCCCTCGTCTGTCACCTTGACCGAGTGCAGTGTCACCTTTTTCTCCGACACACTAAGGCGCCCCACATATTCCTCGCCCAGCACCTCCGTCTGGTTGTACAGCACCAGGGGTGGGGGCTCTGTAGTGTGATGTATCTCCGTCTGATTGGGCGGAGTCAGAGCGGGCCTGAGGTTCGGAGAGAAAGGAAGTGAATGAGTGTTAAACCACCACATGAGAAATCAGCGTAAATCCTGTTCAGCCCAATCAGTGATGTCACAGCAGGTGTTTTAATGCTAATTGCTGATTGGCCAGTGGTGAACATTCAGCAAAGCAGCAGGATATCTCTCCTGTGTATTAGCCATACCCAGCTAAATCAAAATGTCCCCAACATTTACCCACCACAGTTGTTTTTAACCTTTTGCCACATTTCAGCCTTCATCAGAAAAGAAGTGTTTTTGTCATGCTAATTTGGTACAAGAAGAAGAGTGTGGTCTATACTTCAAAACAGGCCAAGCTCTTGAGACATTTGTTATAGACTGTTCTGCCGCCTACACATAAGCCCCGCCCCCTGCATAGCCTGTTTGTTGTAGACTCTTGTGATGGTTGCAGCTATTGGAGTTTATGTAACAGTTACTATACAGATCAACAACGTTACAATACTATACAATAGATGTATTATATATAGTGCTGGCTGCTAAATGTGGATAAATAATCTGTAATAAGCATGACTCCATTCATGCATTCTTGTTTTTCTTGTTATGCTTTCACTGGCCGTACCTGAACTCCAGAGTGATGGGGCCTTCCACTTGGTTGAGATAGATTTGGTAAGTTTCTCCATAGTTCACCATCTGCTCCAAAGCGCAGTCTGATCAACAAGACCAGAGGAAATAAAGGTCAAAGCAGGAACGTTTGTGAAAGGCAAATCACCTATGTTGTTGAGCTGAGTGCGAAAGGTCAAATGTTTTTATGGTTGCTTGGTTCCTTAATTTGAACAATCTTCTGGGGTTAACAGAATCTAATCTTTGCCAAATTGAGTAACACTTTAAAATAACCATCATTTGTAAATGGCAATTTAATTTAAATTGTTATTAAATGTAAGCTAATTGTTATTTCACTATTAAAAAACAATGAAATGTTAATTATTAGTGTTCATTTAGTATTTGTATTTTATATTTTTTGAATGTACCATAAACCAATTATCAACCATTAAAGAAAAACAAAAAAGTGCTACAGTGAGATAGCACACAGCTTACTCTTTTTATGATCATATAATACATTATTATATGATCATTAGGTCTACAAAATATATGCACATTTAGGACTACACAATTTTGTAGTCCTAAATATTCCAATAATGCTGTTGATAAAGATTGAAGCTAGTTTAGCATGGGCCACGATCTGGTATATACAATAAACAAGCATATGTGACTGTTTGGCACCATCCTTCCATAGTTCTCTATATGTTTTGTTTTTTTTCTAGATAAGACACCAAAGACTCATAAAGTTGTTTTCACCACTCAAAAGGTATTTTTTTTTAAAGATGAACTACTATTCCAAAAGACTTTAAACAGCCAACCTCAAGCTGGTAAACACACTCTAGCGCTGCCTCTGGATAGGAGTGCACAGAGAGCTCACCCCTGACGATGATGATGAGGTGCTTGGCGGTGTTGGGGCTGTTCGTGTTCTTGATGACGTACACCCCTTCGTCCTCCTCCAGCATGTCCTCCAGTACCAGGTGGCCCAGGGAGCTGAGGCGGGCCCTGGGATTCACCACCTGGCCCGCCTGCAGCAGAACCACCTCAGCGGAGCCGTTGGTCCTGGGTTTGAACACGACCTCATGAAGGTTTCCAGACGGGACGTTGATGTGAATCTCCTCCCCAAAGAAGGCTGTCTGGTGTTCCTCTTTAACTGGTGGAAATGTTTAATTAGATATGATAGAGAGCTTTCATTTTCTTATTTAGGCCCTTTCCTCATGCATATAATCTGTTCATTCTCAAAAAGCATTTTTAAGTAGGGCTGCTCAATTAATCGTATTTTAATCGCAATTACGATTTTGGCTTGCAACGATTATGAAAACAACATAATCGAAATAAAACGATTATTATTATTTATTTTTATTTTTATTGGTTTTTCAGTTGAATTATACTTAAAGTTCAGGGTAATCAACTGTTAAAAACATACTGTTCAAATATTTTTTTCAATAAATGGATGTTTTCAAAGTAAATGGATAATCGTTTTTAATAATCGTGATATCAATTATTGACCCAAATAATCGAGATTATGATTTTTGCCATAATCGAGCAGCCCTATTTTTAAGCATGCATTATAGATTGGGATGGGCAATATGCAGAAAATCAAATATCACAAATGTTTTGACCAAATACGTCCATCCAGATACTGCAACAGTATTGCAGGGTGGATAAGTGGTGCTGTTACAAAGATATTTACTCACTGAGATTGATAAATAATTATCAGTAGCCTCAGCCTGATTATGGATATAATTAAGGTAAATAAAAGAAGAGCTAGAACAGTCTGAAACATTTTAGAAAAATACATAACTTTACTTTAAAACCAGAAAGAGGTAACACTTTTGCCATATTGTCACATCACAAATCTAAGACAATATCTAGTCTGATATCACAATATCGATATAACATTGATGTGGCTCTACAAAAAGAAGCATGCAACTTTACCTTCCAAAGAGGCCACAGCTGCAAAAAGACAAGAGAGTGTGTTCGTTTTAAAATATATTGTTTCTTTTGTTGTCTTTTATTGTACAATCTCTTAAAATAAGTCAGATTTTCTTTGTTCTTAGTAGAAAAACCACTTCCTGAAAAAATAAGAAAGTATTGAAAAGGAAAGTGCACCAAATAATAATCAAATAGATCACAAAATAAATTCCTTGGTGCGGTTTTCATACAGTACGAGCTTATTATTCAGTTAATCGGAGTCAGCTTTGCAGGAAGTCTGCTTCAGCCGTTTATCTGAGCCCACTCCCAAGTGAATGATTTAGTTTGTGCTTACCCGTGCAGATCAGGGCGCTCAACACTGCAGCGCTGAGTACCTTCATCTTTAATGGTCAGTGTCTAGAAAATAGAAACACACCAAATAAAAAAAACGTAAATTTAAAAAGAGCCTTTTATAGCAGGATTATGTCCAATTACAATTTAGTAAAAAAAGAACCTGCTAATTACCTCATTGTTATTTGCCATACGATCAGGTTAACTTACTAAATGTAAAATGGGTAGCCTATTTGGGTGTTTGATTCAAAAGACCTCTGCAGAGTAGAAGCATACACATTTCAATCTGTGTCCCCAAGTTGAAGTCATCACCCTGCATCACCCTGCTGCACTAAATAGCTTTCCACAAATTGGCTCAAATACCTGAGGGAGAGCACTGCCAATACATCTTGAAAAGAAAATCTATAGTGTTGCTGTAAGGTAGAATATAAGCCCATTTGTTATAGATAAAGCATCTTAAAAGCAGAATGTGTGTTTCAAAGACATGGAGCTGTGTGGTGAGCTCAAGAGCAGCTATCATGACGAAGACCACAAACTGGAGAAATACACGATGAAGGAAGAGAAGCAATAAAGAAAGGAAGGAAGAGAAGAGAAATGGTGAAAGGGATGGAGGGAGAGAGGGATAGAGTAGGTCCCATTGGGACGCTGAGATGGACAGCAGCCAGCTGGCCTGAGGGGCCTCTAACCTGTCAGCACTGCTGCACTGGATTACACTGAGCAGTATAGCACGCAGTTATTAAGGTGGGATAATTAGACGCAGAGACCGAGGGAAACAGCTGGAGAGACTGGAATTTAAAACTGCATTACTAACAATTCTTCTTCAAAGAGGCCCTATTATGCTCATTTTCAGGTTCATATTAGTATTTTGTGTCTACTGTGACATGTTTAAATGCTTTCATGTTCAAAAAGCTCTTTATTTTTCTCACACTGCCTGTGCTGCAGCACCTCTTTTCACCCTCTGTCTGAAACCAGAGCCCAGTCTGGTCTGATTAGCTGTCGGGCCGGCTCTGTTGTGGTTGGTCAAGTGCTCAGAGACGTCCCACCCATTAGCCTATCATGTACAATGTGTGGGAGCACTCGCCAACGAGACAAAGTGTTATGGAGTGATGTCACAGAAGTAAACAAAGGAGTCCAGTGGAGTGTGTGAAAGAGAAACTCCCACAGGGATGTTAGCCTTTGCAGACCATTTACATGCACAAAGATCTATATAACACACTACAGGAAAGAGACAACCCCAAAAAGCACAATAGATTCTCTTTGAGCCCTCTGATCAACACCAACCCTGGTTGTGAAAGAGTGGGAAACTACAGAAAAGTGACTATCTGACTCAAGAAAGATATTCAAATGTGCCGTATTCTTTCTTGTCTAAGTAGATACTATTTGCTTCTTTTGTTTGCTCTTTTTCACTCTATTTGTATGTGTATCCCCCATAGACTGTATATATAAAGGTATCCCCTCATGTTTTTGAAAGTAAAAATCTTCAATGACTCGTCACTATTCCCAAAGTAAACCACAGTGGAGGAATATAACGTGGACGTGTTTTTGCCAAGAAAACACAGGTAACAACTTATGAGTGTAACAGATTTACATTTAACAGGATGCATTGTTTTCAGCTACTGTAAGTGTATCTTTTTCCTTTACGATATTACCTGTAGAATTATACTTTTCAAGCTCCTCTGCAGGTATTTCTCCAACGTATTCTCTTGCAAATGATATATATATTTACTGTATACCTCTGTATGTGTAAATAAATAAACAAACATGCACATCACTGCCAAGACACTATGTCTAAATCAGACTGCTGAAGCATCATATTGGCTCAAGTACTTTAGCAGGAGGACGGGACATGCTTTCTTTACAGGAAGTTCGAAGGGAGTCATTTCAGGGGCAGTACAGTACGTGGAGGAAGTTGATTAAACAATTTATAGCTATTCTGATGTATATGAGGTCATGTGAGTACTCAAATAAAATCAGTCTGTTTCCTCTCAACACTGAAAAGACTTTGTTTGTGTACAGTACAACTTTATGTATATGGAAGGTCTATTGATTGTATGTTTTACTAAAATGAAATAAGCCCCAGCGTCATTATGTCCTGTACTGAAGTTTCCAGTATGCAGTGTTAGGGGACAAAGTGAATAACCGCATATTTTCACTCAGAACAATAACAAGCTATTGAATCTCTTCTTCAGATGAAGGATAAGAGTGCTATTTAAAGAAAGAAAAAAAAGCCAATCTCACCGTGCACATCAACAGACGAAAATGCACTGCCAAATGACGCCCTAGCATTTAAGTGGGCAGAAAAAGAGCTCAAGAGGCTTTCAGTCCCTGAGCACAACACAGTAATCATAGCATATGTTCTAATCAGTGGCCTGTAAAGCCGGTTTGAATCATCATCTACAGAGCCATTAGCTCATTGTATGTGTGAGTGCTTGAGCCTGAGTGCTGCAAAGACGTCAATTACAGGTTTGATTTATAGGTGAAGACAACTGAACATCTGAAGAAGTGCGTCAAAGTTAATAGTGTACAATCAGAGTTTGACAAAAATGTTTTTGCCTGAGTGCAAAAAGTGTATTCCTTATGCATTAAAAGAATATGACTTGAAGAGGCCCTATTGTGCTTTTTGTGCTTTTCCCTTTCCTGCTGTGTGTTATACAGATGTGTGTGCATGTAAATGGCCTTCTTGAGACAGAAACTAGTGAAAACTGTCGCTTCTATTGGCTAGCACTCCAACACATTGTACGTCATAGGCTAAGGAGCGGGACATCTCGAAGCAGGTCACCAATCACAACAGAGCCGGCCAGCTAACCAATCAGAGACAGCTGGGCTCTGGTTTCAGACAGAGGGTGAAAAGAGGTGCTGCAACATAAAATAGGCAACAAATACAAATATGAACCTGAACATGATAGGACCCCTTTAAACACAAGTAGAGGCCTAATCATGTTAAACGGTGCCTCCTTAAAACCCAAAGAGGTTATGCTAACCTGAACAAACAAAGATTAACAAAGGGGCAAGGCAGGACAAGAATTATATGTGTCAATAGGAAGTGTGTTTATGTGGCTGCTTGAAGGTGAATGGGTTGAAAAGATGTGTTATCTAACCACTGGATTAAGACATTGTTTAACATTTTAAATCATTTGAAGGGATGATGGTGAACTCGACTCTTTATTTTGAATTAATGAACTCTTGGCTGCCTCATGAAGGAGGGTTAGGGCTAGCCTGTTGACCATGGGGTGTCCTGAAAACAAATAAGCTCAGCAGCCTGAGCTAACAATGTAACCTCTGTCCTGTGGCTGAGGGTGTGATGTCCATTTCAACCATCTGACTCCAAATGGGTCACTGCTCTCCTGACTCGTGTTATGAGCAGTCAGATCAATGGAACTGCAGGACGCTCAGCCTTTACTGGACTGCGTGTGGGACAGTTACATCTTTCAGGATGATCTCATCAGCCTCACATCCATCATGACTGACGGACTGAAGAGCTTTTTCCCCCTCATCTCTCCTCTCCCACACAAGCATCATGCCTCTATACAGTCTCTCTCATCCTCCATGCTTCTCTCTGTTTCTCCTCTGAAACACTTGAGCTGCCTTCTCTTCCTTTTGTTGGCTGTCCCTCTCTCCTCAAATATCTTTCCATTTGTTTCCTCTAAGTCTGATAAAGTTGTTTGCTGATGTGCTGCCATAATATAAAAATGTCACCCCTAGCTGATTTGATAGGTTTGCCTTTTTCTCTCTACTAATGTTGCTAGCTGCTAATTTACATGAACCTTTCATAGCGAGATCAATGCCACCTTCAAAGTGGGTCACCCCTCGGCACTTGCACTTTCCTTTTCTGCAACACCCCCTCCTCACCATTTACGCATGCAGCCCATAAAGCCAGCAGCAGCTGCTGGTGCAGCCAAGGGTGTGTCACGACCGACCGGCATGAATGGGAGCTATCCCACTACAGGGGGTGTCCGGATGGAAGATGGAGGAGAGGAAAATAAGGAATAAAGAATGGAAGGAAGTGGGGCCATTAGGACATTAAACACACACAAATAACCCCCCATATCCCCACTGTGCAATAATCATGGTCTGTCTCTATGTGTATACTGTTTATCATATATATTTTATCATAATTCTATTTTATTCATTTATTTATTTATTTATGAATCCTGGTCATCTACATGACGACCCGAAGCTGTGTGCGCTACTTGCTGGTCGTAACTGTCAGACCTTTTAATCTGTGTTTTAAGATGTCTGTTTTTAAAGCACTCGCTGGAGCGGTAAACTATAAATCTCGTTGTATTCTGTACAATGACAATAAAAGCTTTTACATTTTTGAATTAGAATTTGGATGTATCACCACAGTCAGACACTGAACGTCTGAGTATAATATATTAGTTTTAGTGTGGGAAAATAGCATTTACTCTCTGCTTCAGCTGTTCCTTCAGAGAATGAAAGGTTTTAGACACTAGCATTTACAGTGAGCCCACAATTTTCTTTAAACTGAAGATTAAGGGGGGAAAGCATCATACCTATTGGTGGACGAGATTTGTTACAAAATGAATCTCATGGCTGTTCCACTTGAAGATGATATTAAGTTGTAATGGTTTATCACTAAGAACTCTTCTATGTGACAAATACTTAGTCAGCAGCTCTAATGTGTGCCGTAGCGCCAAAGTACATTGCGTAACCATTTCCACAGGGATGGACCGGAAAATACCCCAATCCAGACGGGTATATCCCACACACCGGGCATGCTAATGCACCACAGCCTGGGCAACATATTAAATCATTTCTATATCGTGGGTTAAAACAACTAGCATACTTCTAAGCATCCGAGTGTAAATACGGTGGAAATCCCGTATAGACAGCAGCAGAAAATGTAGGATACAGAATTAACACAATATTGAGAAAGAAGGGGGTCATTAGGTGCGCGAAAACCTTACGAAACAATGTCTGCTCTGAGCAAGGCTTGGATTCTTGTCTCTACACTGTGCATTGTATCCATTTTGCCCAGAAATAAGACAGTTTAAGCCTCTGTTTTGTGTCTATGAAGCGTTAATTGTTTTATTTTTGTGTAATTGCTGCCATCCTGCACGCCTTGGCCGCGTTGCTGTTGGTTACACGCCCTAAATCATCCGTTACTGTCATATGTGATCATACTTCAATTAAGCAAAAAGTGAAACAGCAAAGGAAAAAAAACTGCAGAATTTAACCCACTGGCTCCCCGTATGAAGGAAATATTCAAGGAAAAAAGACCAAGTGCTGTAATATACAATTATAATTATTACCTTTGTCAAGCCTCGAAGCCAAAAATCGCTGGGCTGGGAGGGGCTGAGGAGTGATGGTTTTCTTCAAAATCTTTATTTCATTAATCTCGTCCACCCCGCCACCCAAAACCCGACAACACCAGACTTCTATGATCGGCAGTAGAGGAAGTGTTTCGGCTTATGTCGGTTTTATGGACCCGTCGAGTTCTGCCACGCTCGGGAACATCCGGTATCGTCAATTCTGTCTCGGAGCCACAGCCGCTCTGCAGGCGACCATTACACATGCACGACTTCTCCAATGTGCTGTTCACTCACTTGGTTCGAAGAGGGGATCCTCCCCTAGACCGGCACATTTGGACACAATCCTCAGTATTTTCCATCATCCCTGAAGTGTTATATCTTACTTTTGGGACCATTGCATTTACTTTTGTAGGGTATGTTGGTAATATCAGCAGCAGTAAACTAATAATGTTATTACCTCTGTCCTAATCTTTCCTAACCTGTTATGGTGTTGCTGTGAAAGGTCCAGATTATGTAAATGTTAGTTTCTGTTGTTGTTGCTTGTGCTGTCCAAGGTCCTGAATTTAGCCACTGGCACATGGGGACTTTTCCCCCATTTGATAATAAGTGAGAAAAGTTAACGATAATTGTTATGGCCATATTAGGTTAAGGAGTAACATAACCACATTTTATACAGATATTTTCCAACATTTATTAAAGACATAAGGTTTCCAAACTGCTCATATGTAACAATTTGGAATTAAATTGGTCTTTAAAGAGGGCATATTGTGTTTTAAAGTGCACCTATCATGCTATTTTTAGGCAATAGCATAGGTCTCAGATATATAGAAATATATAAAAAAACATGTCTATTAAGTGTTTTGCTCAAAAAAAGAAAATTTCACTTCCTGTTTCAAAAGTGCTGATTTGGGGTATAAAGCGTTAAAAAAAAGGAGGGGGCTGAGCTCATTATAAGACATTACAACATAGACTCAAGAATGGAGTTAAGAGACATCATTTTGACCTGATTATTTCAAAAGTAGTCAACTAGTCAATAAAAAGATAAATCATTAGGCCATAGCCAATGGGTTTTGAGATTGCAGACAACACGTTTGGCACAGAAAGTTCACCTGCATTCAACCACAGACTACTCCAACCTGACAGGTCTATAGGGGGACTACAAACAGAAGCCAGGACGTTGCATATGTAGGCAGATATCTGTCTATAGAGACAAAACATATCAAAAACGACTGCAGCCCATTCAGGCGAGCTAGGGCCTGGTTTAGGATTGTTGGCTGTTCCGTTGTTAAAGGCCTGCTTCATCTCTCATCTGCTAGAAGAGCTATTTATCATAACAACAGTACAAGTTTTTCTGTCAAAATGCCTCTTTATTTCTCGCAAATGTTTCACAGTCACTGGGTTACAAAATGTTCTACAGGAGATTAAAAAAAAGGTACTAACAAACAATGGAACATAAACAGACAACATGGTTGAGGATCACACACTGACAAAAACAACTTCCGATTGATTTTCAACGCATACTGTAGTACTGTAAAAAAAAAAATCAGAAATATTAAATTGTGCACTTAGTCACGGGAATGTAATGAAATATTAATCTCCAATTTGGTTCATTTTTGGAAAAGGAGAAGAAGAAAAGAACCCAGCATTTAGTGTTGGCATGTTTTGCAAGAAGCTTTAATACATCAAATCTTAAAAGGACTTTGAATTGTAGAAGGATATTTAGAGACAAAAAATGTCTTTGAATACATTTCAAATAAAGAGAATAAATATCACTGCAAAGTCCTAGCAGTAATATTCTTTCCATGACCTGGCCTGGCCTTTGGACACCCGCTGTGTGATCCTACTCATGAAGTTGGCTGGTGTCTGAGAATAATCCTGCTACTGTTGCATTAAAACCATGAAAGTGCATATTTAACACGCACCATCTCCCCCGGCTTCATCACCATGCCTACCACAATCATCCAAACCAAAACAATACAAGGAAGATGGAAGCAGATTTCCAAACCCCCCTTTCTACAGTGTAGCCCTCACCCTGCCCTCCTATGATGAGAGGAGCAGGGTGGTGGGTCCTCCCTCCCCTTCAAAGCCTGATAGGGATGTGTGTGTACAAAACGCTGCAAACTGATATTTGCTGGGTCCAGGCTCAAGGGCGTATGGCACTCTCAACACTTTCCAGGACATGCCGGGGCCTTTGCCCCGGCCTTTGCCGATATCTGTGTTGATAGGTAATAGATTAAGAGCAGTGAATCATCTTAGAAACAGGAAGCGCTCAAACGTTTGTGAGTTTATCAAATGTACCAGTGATTCCATATCAGCCACAGCTTGTCACAAAAAACCTGACTGATAGTGTGTTTAACAAACTTAAACTAGCTTTATTAAATGTCAGGTCTCTGGCAGGAAAAACATTTTTAATCAATGATTTTATCACTGAGCACAATCTCGATTTTATGTTTTTAACAGAAACTTGGATTGAACAAAAATAACAGTGCAGCTGTTCTTATCGAATCAACCCCTCCCAACTTTAGTTTTATGAGTCAGGAAAGAATGCATAAGAAAGGGGGTGGAGTTGCTATTCTGTTCAATGATTCCCTTCAATGCAGGAAGACATCGTATGGCAACTTTGCTTCTTTTGAATATGTGGCCCTTCAGCTGAAATGCTCCTCTCGAGCTCTGTTCCTAAATATCTATAGACCACCCAAATACTGTGCAAGTTTTTTGATGATTTTACCGAACTGCTGTCTATAGTGTGTATTGACTTTGACCGTCTCGTCATTGTTGATGATTTTAACATCCATGTTGACAACTCCCAGGACAGAGGGGCAAAATAACTGTTTTGTGTTCTTGATAGCTATGGACTGACTCAGCATGTGACGGAGCCCACGCACAATAAGGGGCACACTCTGGACTTAATTATCTCAAAGGGTCTGAATATCTCTAAGGTTGTGGTGACTGATGTTGCACTCTCTGACCATTCCTGTGTTTTCTTTGAGAGCTCTATTTCTGTTCACAAAAATGTTCAAAAAGAGGTAACCACAAAGCGATATTTGTTGCTTGGAAATGTTTACTCAGAATTTTTCTTCCACACTTGCCCCTGCTAACATCTCAGTAAATGAGCTAGTAGATCATTTGAATTCAAATTTTTTAAATGTTATAGATGCCACTGCTCCAACTAAGGTAAAGGAAGTGACTGGCAAGAAAATATCTCCATGGAGAAAGGCCATGACCGTGAAAACAGAAAAAAGAGAGTGTCGAAAAGCTGAACGCAGGTGGCAGGTTCACTTTGAAATCTATAAAGAGAGACTTGGCCTTTATAATTTGGAATTGAAAAACGCACAACAGTCTTTCTTCTCTGACATCATTACCAAAAACAAAAACAACGCATGTGCCTTGTTTGCTACCGTCGACAGACTAACAAACCCCCCAGTGTCAGTAGCCTCTGACAAAATTCAGAAAATCAGACAAGCAGTCAGTGCCTCTGCATCAGGTACAGCAAATGTGTTGTCCCTATGTCCACCTAATATCAATTCAGACATCATGACACAATTCCATCAGATTAATGATAAAAACCTAGAGGACATTATTCAACTTCTGAAATCCTCCTCCTGCTGCCTTGATATTATTCCAACAGGATTTTTCAAAGATGTTTTGCCTTGCATGGCCTCAGATCTACTTCATATAGTAAACAAATGTCTTCACTCAGGTATTTTTCCACAGGCCCTGAAAACTGTAGTCATTAAACCGCTCTTAAAAAAGAATAATCTAGATGCTTCAGTAATGAACAATTACAGGCCCATATCAAACCTGCCATTTCTAGGTAAAATCATTGAAAAGTTGTTTTTCAACAGTTGAGTAATTTCTTGCATTTAAATAACTGTTTTGATGTGTTACAGTCAGGCATTCGTCCAAACCACAGCACTGAGACAGCTCTTAAAGGTCTTCAATGACATCCACTTAAACACAGACAGTGGCAGAACTTCAGTGTTAGTATTATTAGATCTCAGTGCTGCGTTTGACACTGTTGACCACAACATATTACTAGACCTACTGGAAAACTGTGTGGGACTTTCGGAAACAGTTCTAAATTGGTTTGAATCCTACTTAAAGGACAGAAACAACTTTGTTTCCATAGGTAAATACACATCTGAGTTGACAAATATGACATGTGGGGTACCTCAAGGCTCCATCCTGGGGCCTCTTCTCTTTAACGTCTACATGCTACCACTGGCTCAGATAATGAAGAACAACAAAATAAGTTACCATAGCTATGCAGATGACACACACATTTACGTAACAATTTCACCAGGAGACTATGCTCCAATTCAAACACTGAGTAAGTGCATTGAACAAATCAATGACTGGATGTGTCAGAACTTTCTCCAATTAAACAAAGATAAAACTGAGGTAATGGTTTTTGGAGCCAAGGCAGAACGTTTAAAAGTTAGCACTGAGCTTCAGCCTGCAATGTTCAAAACAACAGATAAAGCCAGAAATCTAGGTGTAGTCATGGACTCTGACCTGAGTTTCAACAGTCACATTAAAACAGTTACTAATCAAATCAAATCAAGTTTAATTTATATAGCACATTTATAAACGATTTTTGGTCGAGCCAAAGTGCTGTACATATAATAAAAATAGCCTACAGTAGAGACACTTTACAGAAAATACAACAGCACAGATTGTTCAGAATATCAGTATGAGAAAAACGACACCCTCTATCCTTAGACCCTCACATCGTACAAGGAAAAACTTCCAGAGAAAACCCACAGTTTAAGGGGAAAAAATGGGAGAAACCTCAGGGAGAGCAACAGAGGAGGGATCCATCTCCCAGGACGGACAGACGTGCAATAGATGCCGTGTGTAAATCGAAGAGATAATACATTTTACAACATATAGACCAAATGTTAGGAAATGCATGTGTCTGTAATAAGAAGATGAATCCACGAGGATGTCAGCTACAATCCTGTGGAAGCCATCAGGGAAGCAGCATGACTTGACCCAAGGCAGGACCGCAGAGACAGGTTCAGCCACGACCCGAAATCCACGACTTAATCCAGAACTCAGGATAGAGGATCCAAGACACAGGACTACAGCAAGAGGATCAGCCTTGACTCCGGATCCCGGCGTAGATATAGATACAAAACAAGAAAAAAGATTTGGATGACTAAATCAGCTTACTATCACCTAAAGAATATATCTAGGGTTAAAAGACTAATGTCACAGCAGGATTTGGAAAAACTTGTCCATGCTTTTATCTTCAGTAGACTCGACTA